TTTCCATTTTAACCCTAAGGTTGACTGGGAGAGAATGCCATATGGCATTAATGTCCGCCTTATGTACCATTACTTGTTTCTGTGTACATTAAAGTCTAAATAAACAAAAAAATAAATAAATAATTTATACTTTTAGTAATAATTATAGATGTAGTTAATTGTAGTGTGTAACTAGGTACCCTCTTTATAAAAATTGATCAGAAGTATTATAATAAAAAAATTGTATGACAAGGGCACGGACCTAGAGTCCGTGGAGAATTAATCTGTAATATTATATAAAAAAAGTACTACTACTACTACTTCTACTGGGGTCGTAGATAGGTCGCCATACCTCCGGGTCTGGTCTACTAAGAGGACCCGTGCCTCCTTCAGGTTCAGATAGTGACTACCGGGAAGGTCGTTGGGCCTCCGGTAACCTCACTCACACGACGAGACACAACGAAAGCGTTGCTTCACGTCGGTTTTCTGTGTGGTATCACTCAGTCGAGCCGGTCTATTCGTGCCGAAGCATGGCTCTCCCACAATAACTAATTCAAGCCACACTTTTGTCCCATATTCAGCAAATTTAAATATACCACAACAGTTATAAAACTGTGTTTTTATAACTATCGTGAGGCATATTAAATGAACTAAAAAACGCTGTCGCGGCGATGTCGCGCAGCCCACTACTGCTGCATACATCGCCGCGACCACATACGCTGCTCATGAGGAAGAACCCCTCTATGGTTCGAAACTAATAGAGCTTTTCTCAGTATATTCACGTGAGGAACCCGCGATTTTTTAGATAATTAGTTATTTTTAGTTATTTTTTAGTTGCATAGTTATAAAATTCTTTCCATTTTCAGATATTGGTGACAAGTTAATAGAAGTGATTGGTTTGGAAAACTGTCTACATATGGGACAAGTAAGAACTGGTAAGTTTGTTGTTACTGTAGAGGAAAAGGTGGTAATGTGGCCCCTACAAATAATTAGGCCTGCCTTAAATATTGTTAACTTAGAATAACGCCATCTAGTTAGTTGTGCATGAAATACGTAACTCTTTTCACAGCTATCGAATATAACCAACAGAATCCGTGAGATGGTGTTACGTGCGTTGTTATTTGAACTAGTCGCTACTTATTTACTACAGTTTTGACACCGTTCTACATTTTATACATTTTTTCTGGACAAAATAAGTGTTACGTCTGTTGATTTGAACATCATTGTGTTTGATAAACGTTTTTCTACTGGATTTTACAGGTAGTTGCTACCTATTTTTATTTAGATCTATATACCTACTTGACTTATATATTTTTAAATATTTGTTTATATAAAAAAAATTAAAATATAAAGCAGTAGCCCACCTGTAATGGAAGAAATCCAAGCTACCGGTGGTCAGGGCTCCAGAGAAAGTAATTTCCGGACAATACGCGCCGTGTCCAGAAGTACTGCTTTCTGCATCAGGCCCTTGACCCAACCATCTAACGCTAGCCTACTCAGATGTTAATGATTAGTTAGATTATTATTATTTACGTTTAATTATATAAAATTTTCTAAAGTTACATTTTTAAATAATACTTAAAAAACAGAAAATTCTATTTAAATATAAAAAATAGAAGTCTACGAGTAGCGGGAGCATGGTCCAAGCTACCGGTGGTCAGGGCTTCAGAGACAGAAACCTCCTCACGATACGTGCCGTTTCAAGGAGAACTGCCTTCTGTATCAGGCCCTTGATTCATCCACCTAACGTCTGCCTCCTAAGATGGATTTCGAAGCTTTTATTATTATTACTATTAGCAATAACCGCATGGTTTCCCCACTGTTAGGCTCCTATAGGGCTTGAGCTCTCCACTTACACGTCCATGGGAAAACAATTCACTATAAAATGTTTCCTAATGGGTCCATCTAGCGTGATATTTTGGTATTAAAAGTACCATTGGAAACTACTAGATGGCTCTGTATTCAATTTTAATTTCCCTCTCTAAACTAGTAATTCCTCTTGTATAGTGGATGCCTATGGGTGGCGCTGATTGCTTACCATTAGGTGATTCGCCCTCATTACATAACATCACGCCTTTTATCCCCGAAGGGTTACGCAGAGGTGCACATTATACTACTGTACAATGTAACACCCACTTTCCATTATTTATGTTATTAGTCCCATGTAATAGGGGGTGAGCCTATTGCCATATACCGGGCACATTTCCAGACTCTGTGCTACTACTGACAATATTTAAAAATGCAGTAATACTTTGCCCGACCCGGGAATCGAACCCGAGACCCCTTGCTCGGCAGTCGCACTTACGACCACTCGGCCAACAAGGCAGTCTCCCTATCCAACATAAAAGGATAATAAAGTAAATTTGCTGTATACTTCTCACTCCAGGTCTTCGAGCATCAGGCCGGCGGCTGGCACAGTGCAGCTCCATCACGTTGACCACGAAGAAGACATTCCCCATGCAGATCGATGGAGAACCCTGGATGCAGCCACCTTGTAAGGTAAGTCCATATTAGTCCCTTCGCTATAAGTCGACAAGGGATTATAAATACATTTACGGGATATCAATGTTTCCCTATTATATCATATATGTGTATCAATGTGTATCATACATATAACCCTTCTATTTAAAAAACTGCATCAAAATTATGCAAAGATAATTTGACTGCCTCGTTGGCCGAGTGGTTGCAAGTGCGACTGCCGGGCAAGGGGTCTCGGGTTCGATTCGATCGGGTTCGATCGGGTCAAGGGTACAATTCCTGGGCCGGCCAAGTATTACTGGGTTATTAAAAATCTCAGTAGTAGCACGGAGTCTGGAAATGTGCCCGATATATGACAATAGGCTCACCCCCTATTACATGGGACTCATAACATCAATAGTGAAAAGTGGGTGTTACATTGTAGGTACAGTGGGTTAAGTGCCGAAATATGCACCTCTGCCTACCCCTTCGGGGATAAAAAGGCGTGATGTTGTGGGATAATTTTAAAGATCTAAGCATACAGACACATAGACGGTGGAAAGTTACTTTGTTTTATACTACCTAGTGAAGGACATACAAAAGTATTTTTCTTTTATTTTTCAGATAATGATAACCCATAAGAACCAAGTTCCGATGCTGATGGGACCAGCTCCAGAAAAGGGCAGAGGATTCTTCAAACTCTTCACTCATTGCTAACTTAATTTACAACCTTTCTACTTTCTCAATCTACTGGTTTACGACTCACTTCTATAGTTTACAATCACTTCTGTACTTTACGACTCACTTCTGTACTTTACGACTCACTTCTGTAATTCACAATTCATTTTACAACTTCTTATAACGTTTTATTTATTGATTGATCAATCGTTTGTTAAATTGCCGATTTACTCTTCGACCGAAATGTGTTCATTTTCCTGAATTTTATTGATTGATCAATCGTTTGTTACATTAACAATTTATACGTCGACCGAAAATTGTTTATTTTCCTCTTTATTAATTAATTATTATTTTATAAAATAATATTTTTAATCCAATCAATCGATTACATAATCATTCAATCAAAAAATTATTAAACCGTCTAATGGTTTACTGAAGATTCATAAATAACAAAGTACTTTGGAGCAAAGATTTTACAACAATAATAATATCAACTTATTATTAATAACAATAAGGTCAAATATTACTCGTATTTTCTGACACAGATTTGGTAAAAAAAAAACTATTGAAAATAAAAATAAATCTTTCATATTTTTCCATACAAAGATTTGATATATAATATCTCATTTATTGGATCTTTAATTGATATATAATTATAATTTATTTTTAAACAATATTATGTGTAATTTCATAAATAATTTCGCATAATTGTATATTTATGAATATTAAGGCTTTCCGTGCTTCAATTTTTGGTCAAATTCAACTAAAATATAAACAAAACAAATTGTGGATAGAGTTATAATTTCTGTGTGCTGAAAATAACTTCGCATAAACAAATAAAATTTACGCTACGAACTCACTTCGCGATTTTCCCACGCGCCCACCGCGGTCGCGGAATAGAGATTTATTTTCAAAACCCACGAGACTATAGTTTTCTGTAGACTCGCAGCCGCCGCGATTGCGATTCATCATCATCATCATCATCATCAACAGCCTATAAATGCCCACTGCTGAGCAAAGCCTCTTCTCACACGGAAAAGGTTTGAGAATTAATCACCACGCTTGCCCAATGCGGGTTGGTGATTGCAAACTTATAATAAGAAACTAGCTTTTATCCGCGGCTTCGCTCGCGTCACAAAAGGATAAAAAGTAGCCTATGTGACATATACCAATACACACAGCGCCATCTATACCAATACTTTTGTTTTCCCTCGAGAATACCAAATTTTTCCGGGATAAAAAGTACTCTATTATTTAATCCGGACTTCTAACTTTACGTCTGCAAAAATTCAAAGCAATAGGTTTAGCAGTTACGGCGTGAAAGCGGAACAAACAAACAAACTCACTTTCCAATATATAATATAGTAAGGATTATAAGCCCAGGTTTTCTCACGATGTTTTCCTTCACCGTTTATCAGTGGTGTCTGAATAACCTTAGAAAGTACATATAACTCGGAAAAAATCACATTGGTACTTGCCGTTGGTAGGTATGGAACCTGCACCCTCATACATGAGAAGTGGGCATCTTAAACCTCCGTGCCACCACGCGATAGCGATTATCGCCCGTAAACTTGGCGCTTGATTATCGCAAGACGGGCGGGTTAGATTTAGTTGAGCCGACCGACCGCAGAGCGTGCGGGTGCAGCGGGACCCGCAAACAATCGCAACCGCCGCGAAAATTAGCATTTAATTCAATTAAACCACAATTTGGTACTTTTGAAACGTCAACAAATATGAAATAAATAATAGTCTGTCAGTCTGTCCGTCAGTGAAGCTAGGCGGTCGTTCCAAAATGTCGATTCGAGTGGAGAAGAACGAGCAAGAAACTCCATTCGTTACTCTTTTAAATCTTATCGCCAATCTGGTCACTATATGTCCATCTAGAGCGCCCTCTACCAGATTGGCGATATATTAAAGAAAGGCCAAATTAAAAGTACCCTTAATCGACGAGCATATATGAAAAGATTGATGACTGTTGATGAAGCGAAAGAAGTATGTAGGAATCGTAGTAATTGGCGTTCCCTAGTATCTGCCTACCCCCAAGGGAGACAGACATGAAGTTATGTAAGTTATGTAAGTTTTAATAACTGTGAAACTTTTTTTTCTTCTCCTCTTATAATATCTTCTGATTCACTTCGTTGCGGGAACCAAGACAGTTGTTCATGTCCCTGGGACGCGCCGGACTTCAGTGTTCCGGTGTTTTCATGATTGTATCTACTGTAGATCCTGACTTACAGGAGTTGCAGCAGTTTTGGGAGGTTGTGGCGGGCTTGTCCCATTAAAAAAAAGGCTGCGGGTCCGCATCCGTGGCGGTCACGGGAGAAAATCGCTTCGTGTGTCCTTAGCCTTATACTTTTGTCAATAAATGACAACAAACACTAAAAAGGTTTGTCAAAATTCGATCCTAGTTTTTATAATAACTGTCGTGAGACATACTAAATTAAGTAAAAACTCGGGTTACTCACGTCAATATACTGAGAAAAGCTCTACTAGTTTCGAACCACAGACAAACATATGATGTTTGCGGTACGGACGCGGCTCGATTCATACGGTTTGATAAGGTCTCCGTACTAGCGAGAGAAAAATACTTCGTTCCGCGAAAAGTGCGAGAGGCCATCGAGATCAGCCGACGACCGTGCTTCAACAGGGATGGTGGCTGGGCACTGCCACCCGCGTGGAAGCCGAGCTTGGAGTCTTCGTCGATCCACAGCGTCTCCAGTCTGGAGTGTGACACAGTAAGCGTTATATGCAACACTGACTTTGTGCCGAACCCGGAATCGAACCCACGACCCGCGCCGCTGGTGAACGTACCGTGCGCTTTAGCTTCGTCCAACGCGCTGCCGGAGTTGGAAGCAAACGCTCGTAGTGTCCGACAGAGGGCGCGTTGGGCTCGCAGCGCAGGTGGCAACACCGAGGCGAGCGCCAACGCCAGCCAGTGAGCTGCGCGACGTCGCCGCGACCGCGCACGCTGCTCATGAGGAAGAACCCCTCTGTGGTTCGAAACTAGTAGAGCTTTTCTCAGTATATTCACGTGAGTAACCCGCGTTTTTACTTAATTTAGTATGTCTCACGATAGTTATTATAAAAACACCGACGTCGCCGCGACCGCGCACGCTGCTCATGAGGAAGAATCCCTCTGTGGTTCGAAACTAGTAGAGCTTTTCTCAGTATATTCACGTGAGTAACCCGCGTTTTTACTTAATCGATCCTAGTTTGTTAAAATCTGGATATAGTTAATGCAAAGCAGAGATTTGTTGAAATCTTCTCAATTGTATATGAAATTGAAAGACTTACCAGTGTTCAATATGGTAGGTTAAATCTAAATATCAACTCTCGAAAATGAAATTGCGATCTATGCTTATGATGGATAAGATTCAAAATTGACTGTATTTCTCGGGTAACTTTATAAAAGAGTTGATTCATCTTGTACCTTCTTTGCTAGCTTGCTCGCACCTACTTCAACTTTACTTAATCTATATTACCTCTATACTGACTTAATAGGGTACCTAGTTGCCTGAATTTTATTTGAATGTCCGTCTGGTACATTAATTTAAAACTTTAGACACGTATTTTTTCTTTTCTCACAAAATTAAATAATTTCGTCGATATATTAATCTGAAATATCGTGTGACGTCACAGCGTGCCACATTTTGTAGCACTTTGTGACGTAACGACCTCCCACTCCTAAACTTAACTCCATTTTATCTAAGTATTGTAACTTTATACGAGAAAATAAAAAAATACGTGTCTAATATTTTTTCATTAGGTACTTACCTATGTAACTGACGGACTAATTAGATTTTTAATTTTCATTTTCTGGCAAATATCCTATTTTATAGATTTCTTTGTTTGAATGCTATCTAGGGGACTACAGCTATTTTGTAAAATGTCAAATTGAACTCTTGAAGAAGAAGTAGAAGACTGCTTCGTTGGCCGAGTGGTCGCAAGTGCGACTCCCGGGCAAGGGGCCTCGGGTTCGATTCCTGGGTCAGGCAAAGTATTACTGGGCTTTTAAAAATCTCAGTAGTAACATGGAGTCTGGAAAGGGCCCGGTATATGGCAATAGGCTCACCCCTATTACATGGGACTCATAACATAAATAGTAAAAAGTGGGTGTTACATTGTACAGTGGCATTAAGTGCCGGGATATGCACCTCTGCCTACCCCTTCGGGGATATAAAGGCGTGATGTTATGTATGATGTTATGAACTGAGAAGTCGAAGTGAGCTGATCGTATTCTCGCCCGTTATTAGTCGAGATTATTCTCACAACCAATGAAACGGCGGACCGCGATCGAGCTCCGCCGGTGCCAGTGAGGCTGATTGCATCAGACGCCTTAGTACGAGTTTGTTTTACGTACAGAATTCTTTAATATATCTGTGGTTTTACGTTTAAAGTAGTCGTAACGAGTACGTTTAAAGTAATCGTATTGGTGCCGACCAATGAAGCAACCAATGAATGAAGCAAAAAGCACTACAATCAGAGCGTCGAACGCATACTCCCTTCGAATACTTTAAAAGTAAATTAAACTCGTACTAAGGCCTCAGAGCGCCGAACTCGCTCGATACTATTACGTTACGAATGCGATAGTTATTCGTGCTTGGCACTCTGGTCTGCATTAAATATATTTGTTGGATAATCCGATCTATCGACTATGAAACATCACGCTAACCAACAGGAGCCGAGCAATGGGACAAGCAGCGCAGGAATAGCTGGTTATTTCAATAAAATTCATCTTCTATTTACCTAATTGGTTGCAATCTCTATAAATACTTTCTCCTTTTCTATAAAATACCTCTCTATCCTTCAACCTCTAAATATAGCATCCTTGCCATAATTTATAAACAATCTATAATTCCTATAAAAACGTCTGATATAAATCATCTTCTATTAGTAAGAAATGCTCTTGCAGAAACCCTAACGTCCATTTTTGCTAAATTAGATATAAAACTTATACATTTATTAATATATTTATATGTAAAACATATTATATTAAAGTCCAATTTTAATGAAAATGAAAGAGAAAAGCTTGAGAATATTCAATTTGTTTATATATTTTTAATCTATGAAATATTCATTTTAAATAATTAAAAAAGATGTTTGAATCTCGATTTATTTAAAGTCAATCTTGCATCAAGAATAAGACTTCTACGAGTTAAAAATAAAAATAAATTCAGAATAATATTACTGTGTAATAAAACCGTAATAATATCAGCAAATCATATAAAAACTAAGCCAAAGACGATACCTGAGATTTATACGAAAAATCACAAAATGATTTTTATAGAAAAAAAAATCTAATAAAATACAATTACAGAAATTTTATCAAAGAATTAAACCAAAAAATAAGTACATTTTACTATAGAATTATATTAGTTGCTTACATTAAATGGTAAATTAAATAAAAATGTCAAATACGTGTAGTAATTAGGTAATTGTTATATTTTAAATGATTTTATATTGACTATTAGTTACATTTAAAATAGGTATTAAAGAAATAAGTTATACTTTTGTGCATTTTATTATACGTCCCATTAATTTATTTTAAATGAATTATAGTTATCCGTATTAAATGTAAACTTAATGTAATTGTAATATAATTAAGTGAATGATTGTGTTTATTACTGTGAAATGTTAAAATTGCTGTTATAAAAAATGTTTAAAAAATATTTAAGACATTTCCAATGTGTTGTTTTAATTTAAGATATATATTTTAAGGCTTTTAAATGTAAAACTTGTACTGACATAATAATTTATTCATTTAAAATGAAAAATATGATGTCGTGTTAAATGTAACTTTTGTGTCGTGGAAATGTTAAAAGCTTGTAAAATGGCGTTCACATTTTATTCAATTTTAATGTTAATCCACTACAACGTATGTATATTTATTTGTTTTTTATTATTTAAATTAATATTTTGTTATGTGAAAGAAATATAAAAATAATATCAATGTTGTGCCAAGAAGAAATGGATACGTCCTTAATTCCTACGCCAGCATTTTTTGTAAATATTTTT